AACTAGAGGAAATTTTCCTTTAACGTGGAGCTCAACTGAAATTTGTTGGTCGTATAAAATCATGAATATTTGATGTAGTCATCAAAACTCTTAGCATAATCAGATAAGATGCATGTGTTTAAACGTGGGATTTATCATTGAGACTACACCCACTCGGCAATGATGGCACGCCAACTTAGGCACCATTCAAGAATAAAACTATTTTGAGGAATTTCTTGCAAATGTAAAAAGTGCAAAATTTTTTACGTGAATTTTGTAGTTCCCGCTCATTGTCTTATGAGAAAACATTGAGCATGCAGATTGAAACTTCAAAAGAAAACCATGAGCACACTTATTGAAGGCTTCGTCTGTTTGATCAATCTTATAATAATCTTTCGATTGCAATCTATGTTATTGCTTTATTGACTCATTTTAATTATTTTCTTTAAAAGGGCCTTGCTAAAGACTATAACTCTCTCTCTCTCTCTCTCTCTCTATATATATATATATATATATATATTCTGTGTTGTACACAATGCACTCACTTTTTTCTTTTTTTAGTTTTATGTTGGCCAAAGCTCTTCACTTGTAATTTAAAATTTGATATAGTGAATTGTCTTCTTCTGCCTGTAGTTTTTTTCATCTTGAATTTTTAATGTAAAATATGCGTTCTTTCTTTTGCTTATTTTATTGTTTATTGTTTCGATTCAATATCAAGTTATAAAAAATAGTATTTGAGCCATGTTTGATCTCGGCGATGGCAACAATAAAGTAAAATCTCTTCTTATTTTATTACTGACAATAAATATTATGATGGTTACTGACATGATGGTGTAAAAGCAACATCATCATGATTATTTGATTTTGACTCAAAAGTTATGCCCAAAGACGTACATATATCAATATGAAGCTCCAATTCTCTGCTAAACATCTTACTTTATTCATCACTCTTATATTTTTTAGTAGATGTTGTATGATCGCTTTATTAGTTTCCGGACACAACTTATGTTGTATGATCGCTTTATTGGTTTTTGGACACAACTTATAAAATTTAAGTCCAGTTTTATAACCAAGAAATACAAATTTTATAGATCTAAGCTTTAATTTACCAATTATTAATATGAGCACATATGGAGCCGCAAAAATTTTTTAAATTAGAATAATATACAGGTTTAGCTGACTAAATTTCCTCTTAAGTCTTATTGTCAATAGCAATGAAATGAGAGCAATTCACTAAGTAACAAGTTGTAGAAATAGCTTCAGCCCAAAATGAATTAGGTAGCTTGATATTAGAGGGTATGCATGAACCTTTGCCATTATAGTCTTGTTCATTCGCCCTGCCACACTATTTTACTGAAGTGTGTCGGATTGTTAAGTCTTTCATAATTCCTTCTGATTTAAAGAAGGCATTGAATTCTCCTGAATAGAACATCAATTTTATTATCAATGCGAAGACGTTTGATTTGATTTCCAGCTGCTTCTCCATCATAAGCTTCCACTCTATAAAAGTGATAAGAACAATAATCTTTTCCTTCAAGAAGAAAAGTCAAATTTTTCTAAGGAAATCATCAAAAAGATCAACATATATTTGGCGTCATTTTCAGATAGTACTATAGATGATCCCCAAAGATCAGAATGTATGTAGTTTAATTTGTCTTTGGTATAGTGAATATCAGTATTGAACTTAACTCACTTTTATTTCTCATACACACAGTGCTTACAAAATTTCAAATGAGTAATATTCTAATCATTTAGAAGTTCTCTTCTACTCAGCTCAATCATGGCATTCTCACTCATATACCCAAGATGCAAATGTCAGGCTGGTTGTTTCATCATCTGATATGGAAGTAGTAACAGTTACATCGCTTATCACTGTAGATTCTTACAAAACATATAGTCAATCAGTCTTCTTCTGCCTTTTCATCATAACAAGAGAGTCTTGGTCGACCTTTAAAACTCCACCTTAACCAGAGTACTTGTTCACTTTAGCATCAAGAGTACTTAAGGAAATTAAATTCATTTTCAAATATGGGACATGTCTCACTTCTCCAAGTGTTTTGATGGCTCCATCAAACATCTTGATTCTAAGAGTTCCAACATCACTAATCTTACAGGAATCATTATTGATCATTAACATGGTACCCTACGACACAGTTTCATATGTTAAAATTCAGTTCTTATTGAGACACATATGAAACGTCCAGGCTAAATCAAGAACCCAAACGTCACAAGATTCCTTTTGTTAAAAAGTAGTCACTATTGGGACACACATGAAACATGCAGGCTGAACCAAGAACCCTATGTCATGAGGTTTACATAAGAGAAAACTACCTCAGCTTCACTAGCAACTTCTTTAACAACACTTGCTTCACCAAAATGATTTGATTGTTTGTATTTCTAAATTGAAGGTATTTTCTTATTTTTGTCTTGTAACTTATAGCATCCAGTTTTGATGTGACCCTTTTTCTTATAGTAATTATAGATATTATCATTATTCCTTGATTTTGATCTACTTCTTGTATCAGCACCATAACTCTCTTGAGTTCTATCTCGAACTACAAGACCTTCTCCTTGAGCATCAGATTGATCCACAAGTTGCTCATCTTCTTCTTAAAAGTTAGAGCATCATATACTTGGTCTAGTTGTAAGTGTCTTTCGTCCATACAAAATGGTATTTATAAATATTATATATGATGAACATAATAAACATAACATGATTTATGTCAGATATTTTTTATCATACATAAATTTTATGGCTTATAAATCATTGATGACTTCTTTAATGACAATTATGTAATCTATAATAGATGCACCTTGTCATCCTGTGAAAATGCAAATACTGCTTCAAGTGCAACTTACTCGTTAGACTTATCATCATGCACAGTTTCTCTAATTTCAACCGTAATGCAAAAGTGGTATTCTCCTTCAAAACAACAACAACAACAACAACAAAACATCATGAAAAATTTTATTTAATAGATGAAGATGAGAGCATTTCGATATTTATGTTGCTTCACCTCCAGCATCCATGATGAGGTCTTTTTTTTTAACCCAAGTAGTGCAACGCTTAGAACTATATGCGCTAAGACAACATGCATCTTAACCTACAAAAATAAAAAATTTGGTGTTGCGATCTAAAAGATGAATGTCATGCTTTATTGTTGATCGTCGAGATCCAAACATGGCACATATACTATTTGTTATAATTTGATATTGAATTGAAGCAATAAACAATAAAATAAGCAAAAAAAAAAAAAGAACATTTACATTTAAAATTCAAGATGAGAATAACTACAGGAAGAGGAAAAGAATTCACCATATCAAATTTTAAATTACAAGTGAAGAGCTTCGGCCAACATAAAACTAAAATAAAAAAAATGAGTGTATTGTAATAAACATATATAT